GTGAAAGAGGTTTCTCTCCGATGGTCCCCTAATTGCTGGAGAAACTATTGTGAAACCTTGGGGCGGAGAGGAAGGGCAGTGGAAAACAAAAGACTTCCTTTCTCCACTCCCCCCTCTTTTTGTGTGTTTTCTTTTGGCAGAGGTTGTTGCAAACTCCTTAGAACATTGTTTTAAAAAATACATTTGGTTGATATTATTCTTCCAAGGATGGGGGGGGGTGTGGAGGGTGGTCAAAACTGTTTTGAAGTAACAGAAAATGTAAAATAGAAAGTTTTCAAAAAAGGCAAAAGCCAAAGTTACCCGACCCGCGGAGGTTGCAACAAGAAAAAAAGTAAAAGACATTACTTAAAGCCACAGCCATTTCACTGTCCGGGCTCCGCGATTGGTAGCTGAGAGATGGCTTGCTTCGCTTTGGTTTTTCTAAAAGACAGCAAGGAGCGCAGCTTTAAATAGGAATGCAAGTTGGGAACGTTTTTCTTGCGTTTACGCTGCTTCAAGAAAGCTGCTGTTCCTAAAAGCAAGGCGCCCGCACCCGAGCCGCTCGGCTGTAGTCCTCGTCCTCCCTTTCCGAGCACCCAGTGCGAACCCGGAGCTCGGAACCTGGAGGGAATCCTGGACCCGCAACCTGACTCCGCTCTGCACCGATTGGCTCGCACTTCTGACCCCGCCCCCGTGGTTGAGGCGTCCGTTGCGCTGGGACCCGCCCCTCAGCCCTGGGAATCGCCGTCTGGCAGGCCGGCTGCGCCTGCCACTCAGCCAGAGTGGCGGAGGCTCTCGGCTCGGAGCCCCGCCCCCTCCCCCCTAATTGATATTATTGGAGTGTGGAGCAAGCGGCCGGTCTGCAGTCGGAGACTTGCAGGCAGCAAATACGGTGCGAACGAACAGGAGGGGGGAAGGTGAAAAAAATAAAAAAGCTAAACGTGGAGCAGCCGGCCTGGGACAGAGAAGGGGAATCGATGCAAGGAGCGCAATAATAATAATAACCCACTTCGGAGCAAACAGCATTTAAAAAGCTGCGACTCAACTGAAACCTAAAATAAAACCTGCTCATGCACCATGGTTTTTCAAACTCGGTACCCTTCATGGATTATTTTATGCTACATCTGGCTGCTCTGCTTTGCACACACGGGGGAGGCGCAGGCTGCGAAAGAAGGTAAGGCGATGGGAAGCAAAGTTTGTTCTGACTTATTTATTTAGCTGTCTACCTGCACAAGCCGGCTCGTCCACCGAGCTGCCGGCCGCGCCTCCGGCGCCGGTCGACCCTCCCCCGCCGGCTCCCCGCCCCCTCACCGCTCGGGCAGCGGGTTCCTGGTGGACTAGCGGGCGGTGAGCCAAGGCTTCTCCGAACCTTCTGCAGCCCGGAGCTCAGGGCCAGCCATCCGATGGGAGCGGGATTACGAACACGAGCAGTCCGGAGGGCATGAGCGGCATCTGGGTTGGAGGGTTGGGGTGGAGGGTACGGCCGGTGGGCTCATTCCCTAGGACCCCGCTGGTCACATCTCTCACTGGAGCCCTCTTCTCTTCCTTCTCCCCGTGTTCCCCACCGGTGGGAGCTGCGACCAGAGTTGGGTTGGAAACTGGGGAGTGCAGCGCCTGTTGTCCTCACCAGCTCTCCGGTGAGCAGCGGGAGCCCGGAGCCTTCCCAGAGGGGCTGAGACTTGCGTGAGCTCTGAACACTCGGGTTACTAATGAAGTGCTCACTGCATCGGAGGAGGCGGTGCGGGCCTGCGCTTGGCGCTCCGCCGCCGGCGCGGAACAATAACTCCTCGGAGGTGAAGCGAAGCGAGTGGCGCGCGCCCTGAGCCCTGCGCCCTGCCCGCGGGCGGGGACATCTCATTCAGCGCTCTGGGCGCACGGGGCCCAGAGGCCCCGGGGGCAGCGCAGCCCAGCGGAATCGCACCCACCGGGGACACAGGGGTGGGCTGCAGTTGTAAAATTTGTAACGAGTTGCCGCCTGGGCGAGGAGAAGTCTTCTGCAGTTGAGCCGGAGTGGCCAAACCTTGCGAAAGACCTGGACTCTGAGGGTTAGTTCTGGTTGGAGAGAGCAGGTTTCATGGCCAGCTGGGTACGCCTCTGCATATGGTTATTTTTCCTCCGTCTCCTTTGAACCATTGACAAAAGGTAAAATACCTTTCAGTGCCTGTAGTTGGAGCTGGGGAAAAAATAAATCCTCTGTCAATGGAAGTGCCTGGCTTCTTAGCAGTGTTACAATACTCGCACCTCTTTTCCAGACTGTATATCTAAGGTTGATTTTCTGATATTTTAAAACCAAAATACCAATAATTACTTGATCCTCATTAGAGGAGGAGGACTGTGTTAGATTTAGATAATGGTGGTGAGGAACAGGGGCTTATACATCGGACCTCGCTGCATCTATTCCTGAAAACTTAGTGATTTAGCGTTGCTTTTCTTTTCGTGTGCCCCTCTTTCTTCACTCAACATCCCCCAACCCATTGCTATAGTCTACTCTTTCAAACAGTCTGACCTTCTGACCCCAGTTTCCACATCTGCAATGTGTACTGACGCTGAATCCATTCAGAGAAAACCGCGTTTGCAGATAGACCAACCTCTGCAAGAAACGCAACCGGTACACAGCAAAACCACCATTTTGACTCCCCTGATTTTAGCAATTAGTAACAGTCCTGCCACCTTGTCCGGATTCCTCCACAATCGCGGGATCTGAGGAAAAGTTTGCACCGCCACGGTGAAGCCCGCAAGCGAGCACTTGCAGACTCCAGCAGGAGTTAGAGCTATAAATAACTACATCACTAGGGGGAGAGGTTCGTGCAGCCAGAATGTCTCGCTGTCTCTGCTCTTCAGGGTGCTACGTGGAAAGGATTCTGATTCTAGGAGCCTAAATTCTTTAAAGGCAGAAGTGAGATGTTTGAAAAGCAGGCGGAGATAATTGCTCTGTGGCAGCGGGCAGGAGGCAAAGGTGCCTGACTTTTTGGTGGCTATGCGCACAGTGCTCAGCTTCGATCAAGAGCTGGCGTTCTGGGAGTGGGTAAGCCCCGAGGTGGCCCGCGGCGTCGCGGCACCAGGGGCGGGCGCCTGGAGCAGGTGCTCTGCTTGTAAGGTGGTTGTGGGGGTAGGGGTGGCTAGAGAAAGCCAAGGAACCCCATTCCTGCACTTTCCTCCATGCACTTTCTGTCTGGGAGGTCAGTTCCCACTACTGGTAGCTCAGCTATAAGTCACTTTGATACTCAGAGGCTAATTGCAGCAGCTGCGTTTCTTCTCCCTAAATGGAGCCGCAGCCGTTCCCTCACTGGAGACGCTTCCCGAAAGCCTCTCTCCAGCTCCGGCTCATTCTGGAGCAAGGGCGCCACCGGCTCCCTGGAGTGCCCAGGTCTGGCGGTAGCGTAATGGATGCTCGGCACGACAGGCGCAGCTGTCTGGCAGCCCCCGCCCCGCCCCGCCAGCAGCCCCGCCCAGCCCCGCTGCCCGCGCTGCCCTCCACTGGATCGGTCAGGGCGCGCCCAGCCTCTCGCCCCTCTTCTTTCACGCCCCCCCAACCCTGCCTGCGCCGTGGGGCGCGGAGCCGCGGAGCCCCGGGCCCGGGACCCTCGCGCTCCACTCCGCTGCCGGGCTGCGCCTCCGCAGGCGCCAAGGAAAGGATAAGCACTCGGTGCTCAGAGCAGCGCGCTCGGAAGGGTTATCCAGAGAGCAGACCGTGGGAAGAGATGTCCTGATGCCTTTAGTGCGGCTTCCAGCTGGCGGGTTTCTGCTTTGTATTGATTTGTTAGTTTCTCTCTTAACTTGGTTGCCGTCACTGCCCTACTTTGGTCGCTGCCTTCCATCACCGCTATCAGATAGCTGAGGAACAACAGCAAAGGAAATGTTTATTGCATTCCCAAGCGGTCACTTGGATTTAAACTCCAGTTGTGTCTTGCCCATAAAAAAAGGGGAGGGGAGAGGAGAAGAAGAGTACTTGGAACCCACATTGTTTTCTGTGTGCTTCAATTCGTCTTGTTGAGAGTAAAAATAAAATAAACTTTAAACATTACTTTTCACTCCAATATTCAGTGATCTGATGTTTCAAATTGAAATATAAATTTGAATTTTATGAGCGGCATGTTTGTTTTTAATTTAAAGGGAGTCAAACGTTTGTGATTAAGGTTTTTTTCTGACATATTTTCCTTAAGTGTAAAACACTAAAATAAACAAAAGCTGATTAATATACATCTATTTATTTTTGGTACAGGGAATAACTGACCCTTGTGAAGAAGTTGAACATACAATCACCTGTTCCTTTGTTTTCTTAGCGTAACAGCTTTTCATTACCTTTCAAATAGTACACAGTTTTCCTCTAGTGAGTGAGGATTGTTTAGCAGTAAAAATTCAGCTTATATTTTTCAAGTCAAAAGTTTTACATTTTACTGGAGCCGATGTTAGGCATGTTTACATTTGTAAAATACATAATTTCTTGACAAAATGATGCATATGTCAAAAAAGCTTTAGAGTCTGGTAAATATTTTTAATGTGTAAAAACTTCTGTAACTCTGAAAACAGTTCCATTAAAAGTGTAAGTGCTTTGGGAGAATGATTGTATTATAAAAGCTATAAACTAGAGAAGAAAGATGTGTAAAAATGAATGGCATTCTAATGAATTCTTTTATTAATATCAGGAGTATTTATTACACTTTATATGAATATCAAATCAATTACATTATGCTTTTTGATAGCATAAAGGTGAAATAGAAATGTTTTTGGAAGTTGATTCATTTTAAATCATTTTGACAACTAATACGTTGAAATAACTTGAAATTATATATTACTGAAAGCTGATGACTGAGTAATTAAAAACGTATCTTGTAGATAATAGGCAATTTGTTTTTCTTATGATAATATTGCTTGGCATAGTTTTTTAGCATTTCTGTACTCACTTTTGCGTAAGAGAAAAAGCTGTCTGGAAATTTTCTTTTTTCAAAACTAAACTCTTAATTCTCAAAAGGTTGTAGGAAATACTGTTGGCAGAATATTAAAAATTAGTGACTGGCAGAAGAGTAATGGGGATTACACGTTATCATGCTCATGGTATTATATTTTAAAAAGTTTGGAGAGTTCAAAGGTGTACAAAACTGTAATATATCATTTCTACATAACCAATATATTACATTTAAATTTTTACTCCCACTTTCATATTACTATTGCAATGTGAATTTATTTTAATACTTTAAATTAAATAATGTCAAATATAGTATTGTTATTTTAATATTTTTTCCTTCAGAAAGTATAATATACATCTGTGATATTACCATTCAGTGCACCATTCACTTATATAAGTAACTATTCAAATGTTTTCAGTCATTAACTGATAATTATGTGAAAATTAGACTCATCTTAAAATGTTTACTGTTGTATTTAAATTTTTTATGTAACATTTGGAAATAAAACTTTCTTTTTCAGTACTACTGCTGGATTCTAAAGCACAACAAACAGAGTTGGAATGGATTTCTTCTCCACCCAGTGGGGTATGTACTCCTTGTAAAATATCACCATTTATTTTTTAAATAAACAAAACCTTTCTCTCCCTCTGGGGGAATTATTCACATTCTTGTATTTAAGCTGCTTTAGTTCCAAACATGTTGTTCAGTATTTTGTTGTTTTATGAGACATTGAGTTCTCCTAGAACTTTGAGTAGTGGGAAAAAAAAATCCCTATGACCATCAAATTTTAAGTTCTTATTGTGAGTGGAATCATACCTCTGGCCTCAGACTATAATGCTACCTAATTAAAGGGAACTTTACTTTCACAAATTCACTTATACCTCAAAGTTGCTGCATGCTTCTGTAGTATAATCACCAGGTACAGTGTGTATAATTCTTTAAAACAGTATGTAGTCTGTTTTTCTCATTTAAAAATAGTTTTAACATCATTAAAAATAAGCTCTAAAAAGTAACTAAAATGTAATATGCTCAGCATATTTTATAGCATAATACTTGCTATAAAATATTATTTAGATTCCCTAAATTTATGTCATGTGCTATCTGCTGTTATTAATTAAAACTGATGGCAGACTATGACCCTATGACAGTAAAAATCTGCTACAATAAATGTAAGTGAAAGTTTTTCAGTAAAAACCTACCAAAATATAAGCAAACCCTAAAATATTATTATTATTCATTTTTAATATAGTGCTTACATTTTGTTCCATGTCCATGTCTTCATGTCTTATTTTTGATTGTGAGATAGGGCACAATCTTCCTCTCTCTTATGAAGGGAGAAGGCCCTGAATGAGGTTAATATACCCCTTATATTGTTACTTAAGGTTATGTTTGGCACATGAGGAAATCAGATTCAAAGGAACATGAATTATAATTGAGAAAATAAAATGTGTTACAGATTTTATAATGAGGAGAATGAAGGTCTGAAAGGGATTTTTGAGAACACGAACAACATCATAGAATGAATATGTCATGAATGAAAAGTCAGCTTAAGAATACAAAATGTAAACAATTTAAATTTGCTTAAAATACTCAGACTTTTCATTAAATTATTTTTTGAGAAATTGCTTTAGGCCATATTGTAGTTACCTGTATTGTCACAAATTATGAAATAGTGGCAAATAATTTACAGATTAAATACAAAAGGGCACTGAGTTTGAGGTATGAATGTAAGATGAAAAGTGGTTTCCATAAGTAAAAATAATATATGCTATGGAAAGACATTCTTGATAAAAAATGAAACACCTTATGTGCCAATGACAGATGTAGCCCATTTTCAAACGTCCATCAATTAAAGCAAATAGAGATAGAGGATGGTTTTATCTCTGAGGAGAAGTAAACTTCTCAGAGATATATGATTGTAGTATTTCATCCATGTAACTCACAAAATGATAAATTATGACTGTCAATATTATCTTGGAATCATGTGGATATTGTATTAGTCCAGAGAATCTTTAGTTAACAGTTAACCCTACAGATATGTAGGAATCAACAGATATTATTACCCAATGGTGATCAACATTTTCATTATATGACCCACATTTGTTTACGTATGCTTAACTGGAAAGAAATTGTTGCTAAAGCACAAATATTGCGAAGGTTTTTTATAAGCATGACATAAAAATACAGAATCTGAATTAAGACAGCTTTCCAAATACTGTCATTTGTGGACAAATTTGCAGTTTTAAAAAGTGAGATAATAAAGCGTAATTTGTATTAAATGCACTTAAGTAGCCTCACTATTTGTTACTAATATTACAGTTTTCTGGAAAATGTCCACTTAGGCATGTAATTTTTAAATAAAAGTTAAAATTAACTTAGTTTCATAGGTAGTAAAATAGGATTTTCTTAGATTAAATAATTACTCTTGAATTTAGATAAAGAAATTCTCAAAATATATTTGTCCGTAATAATTAGCCTTGATTTCTTCAAACCAAAGAATTGTCAAAAATGATAGATTTATCTTTGGAGTTTTTGTATTTTGGTAGGTATCATTACTAATTTTATTCTTTCAAGAGACCAAAATCTACCCATCCAAATGGATGAATTTGTGTTTATTTGGCTGAGTGCCATTCAAATAGACTATAAACATCTAAATGAAACAAAGGGAAGATATGCATAGTGTTAACTAGCCAGAAACAAAATCTGTGCAAAAAGCAGAACATGAAAATTGGTTGTTTTGCTGTATGTGTGGACCATTGATGTTAAACTGCTATAATAGTGAAACTATAGCATATGCACCTGCATATTCACACAAAAAATGTCTGACTTGTAGCATACTGCTCACTTACCAGTTCTGCTAATTTTCTAAGAACCAGTGTTAAAAGTAGGCATTAATTTTTATACAGAGCATTTAAATGAATTCATACTTTGATCAAGTTTTAAAATAAAACTCATTGCCAAAAGCTTATCATTTTATTTTCCCATCAATTTTCTTTGAATCAATAGTTTAAATATTCCGTGCTATATGAGTTTGGACTTGAGTTGTACTATATTTTTGGCATTTCTTATTGGAGACGTAAATGCAAGTAGATGATAGTTTCACTATTAAGATATGAATGGAAGAGGGAAATGTAATAATAGCAAGAAAGAACATAAACTGGTATTATTTTAGTCTGTTAAGGCTATTAGGTAAAATGTATTTACTATGAGCAGGAGGTGATATTGCACATGATGCAATAATCTGTGAAATTGTCGCTGAAAAACCTACTTTTGCTTTTTTAATAAAAATATGTAACATGGATTTGCTTGTAGTATATGTTGTACCAGAACAAGAATGGACATTTTTAATCATCCGATTGTACATCTTACTGAAAATTCTGCCATGAAATTTTGGTTCTGTATTGAAAACAATTTGTTTATAATGATCAGTCACAATTTTAAACCTACTTATTTAGAGTTATATAATTTTATGTACAATATTAAATATGAGAAAATAGATAGCTCTAAGAAATGTTACTTCCTTACATCTCATTTTGAGAATATTGTAAGATATCCACATTATGAATATCAAAATGTTATGCTTTTACATTTTAGTATGCTTGGTGTTTTCGTCCCCATGTTTTTAGATTATCTCTAAGTTTAAGTATAATATAGACCCTTAAAATGTCATCTGAATTATCAGAAATTCTGCCATGTATCCATATGTGTATGCCTTAAATGGTAATTTAAATAATTGTGAGACTTAATCTATAAAATTATAATCTCACTGGAGAATATAAATATAAGGAACCATGTAAAAAGAGATGCTAATACACTAGCAAACAAATACTAGACAAAACAAAATATTTATTGTACATTTAAACAATGTAAGCAATGTAAGTCATGTTTCTCCACCAAGAATGAAGCTGAACTGGGAATCCTACATTCTCTGGCTGACAGCATTTTCTGGGAGAGAAGTCAACATAATCTTTTCCAAGCTCCACATTTGCAATGTAGTAAAGATTCTTGTTGCACTTTGAAAAGTATGATGTTATTTTGTTACCAAATGACTGATGAACTTTTTACAATTTTGCAGTGGGAAGAAATTAGTGGTTTGGATGAGAACTATACTCCAATAAGAACATACCAGGTGTGCCAGGTCATGGAGCCCAACCAGAACAACTGGCTGCGGACTAACTGGATTTCGAAAGGCAATGCACAAAGGATATTTGTAGAATTGAAATTCACCCTGAGGGATTGTAACAGTCTTCCTGGAGTATTGGGAACTTGCAAGGAAACCTTTAATTTGTACTATTATGAAACAGACTACGACACTGGCAGGAATATAAGAGAAAACCTCTATGTAAAAATAGACACTATTGCTGCAGATGAAAGTTTTACTCAAGGTGACCTTGGTGAAAGGAAGATGAAACTTAACACTGAGGTGAGAGAGATTGGACCTTTGTCCAAAAAGGGATTCTATCTTGCCTTTCAGGATGTAGGGGCTTGCATAGCTTTGGTTTCTGTCAAAGTATACTACAAGAAGTGCTGGTCCATTATTGAGAACTTAGCTATCTTTCCAGATACAGTGACTGGTTCAGAATTTTCCTCTTTAGTAGAGGTTCGAGGGACATGTGTCAGCAGCGCCGAGGAAGAAGCAGAAAATTCCCCCAGGATGCACTGCAGTGCAGAAGGAGAGTGGTTAGTGCCAATTGGAAAATGTATCTGCAAAGCAGGCTACCAGCAAAAAGGGGACACTTGTGAACGTAAGTAATACACACTATTAACATTCTACTTTGCATTTCTGCTATTTAAATATAAGACAGTTTAAGTGATAATAATTCAAACATCTGAATCTGCTCTATACCTGCTGCTTATTTCATTAAATATTAAATGATGTCACTTCTATAATTAATGTTTCCCTACAATGCTATCTTCATTTGATAATGCAATAAATATTGGTGATAATGTTATTTGTTACAAAATTTTATTTGTTTTATTTGCTGATATGGAAGGTGATGACTGTCACCTATAGGCTATAGGATTTAAGAGAGGAGACCAGACAGATAGATTTTAACTTGGGAACACTGAGGTGACATTAATCAGAATTTAATGAGATATTATTCCTCCTGGTTTTAAACCCGTATATTCTGGTACTTTGGTTAATAAAATATAGGAAGTTCAGTGGGCTGCTAAGAAGCTCTCTACTGAAAGGCAGAACATAAATTTACAGATAATTTCAAATTTCCAGAATAATATTTATCAATATTGAAATTCTGATAAAAAATCATCCAGTTTCACCTAATAAATCTCCGCAGTTACTTCTGTCAATGATGTATTTCTTTTCTGGACTGAATAATAAGATGGGTGCTCTTCTTTTGTTAAGTCATGTTACAATGGACCACATTTTTGTGGAAAGAGGTCAAAGTAAAGTTTTTGTTATTGCAGTGCAACAGTGGTATCATTCTTACTTGTTTTGAAACAATAATAGAATATGAATTAGGAAATCCTTTTGTTTTGTAAAACTGAAATTTTTTCTTACATAACATTATGTGGTCAAATAATTTACCAGTGCTTTTCTTTTTAAAATAACACCATGTGGACCTTCAAAATTGATAGATATTTTCCCTTTGTAGGTTCTGAAAAATGCCTTGTTATAAAGTTAATTACTTTTGACACTCTTAACTTACAAGTTATATATAATAAAACATTCTCCCAAATGAGTTTTAGTTATTTTTATACTAGTAAAAGGGCAGCATAATCTCAATATTTGTAGTTTCTAGTGAAGTTGGAGGGGACTAGACCTAGTAATTACAATTACTACATTGTAATTATAATAATTACAATGACTAGATTTATTTGATAACTTACTATGTACACTCTTCCATCTGCTTTATTATATTAGCTTATTAAATGAAGTAGATATCATTATAGTATATGTTTTTTAGAGTAGAAAATAAAATCTATGAAGCAAATAGTTTGCTTGCTGTTACTTTAATTATATTTTTCTTAGCCCAGATTCAACCTTAAAGAATTCTGACTCTAGAATTCAAAGCAAGGAGAATCCTAGCAAATATTTTCTTTTAATTGATGAACTTAAATGTTTTACACATAGCAGTGTGGTACCCCCATATTTATAAATCACAGCATTTCCCTATAAAATCTCATTCTAGTTACATATTTAAAGAAGAAAAATAACTTAAAAAAATCAGATCTGTGTGATTTCTAATTCAGTCATGTGACTCTTCAGGATTTCAGAAGTGGTCACTCTAAATTGAGATGGATATATATTGGGTTAAATTTAGTATAATATTAAAATTAATTTTGAAAGTTTAGTTTTACCGCTATTAATGTAGCTATGAGAAATTTTAAAATTATATTTGGGGTTCAGGTGGTATTTCTATTGAATACGCCCTTTAGAGGGCATAGTTGAGCAAATCTGTTTTCTTATCCTGAGGGTTTAAATACCTGTGGTTGCTGTGCATGTAAACTACTTACAGTCCAGCCCTCAATTATCTACTCATAGCTAACACTGTAAACTGAGCTCTCCACCATACAAATGGACAGCTGTAGGTTTAGGTACCATAGGCTTATTTAGCAGGATCCTTTTATATGCCCCGAGGATTCAAATCTGTCTCACGATTAGCAGGCAGAGTGTTATTCCATTAGATAAGCATAGGAATATTCCTAGTGAATTCATCACTAGATGTAATGAAATGTTCTTATTGACTATAAATTACACTAGAAAGGTGGGTTCAACAGTAACTATTACTACTACTACTTCATTTTAGCTGTAAAATCAGCTGGTTTCAAAATCATGCAGCTCTCAATTGATGTGAAAGTAGAATTTAAGTTTTTGCATAATTAAATATAAGAAAAACAAAAAACAAAGCAGAAATAAGTAGAAAAGTGCACAACTGCATTTTTCTTAGGAAAGAGTAGGAATTAACATTCTAGGTACTGCTGTTTTAAAATTTAAAGATTTTAATGAAAGTAATAGTTTTATGTTTCATTTTGTGTAATTTAACTCAAATGATTGATACATTTATTTGTTAAGAAAAGCAAATTGGAAATGTATGAGTTCTGTTCCTTTGAGTAGATAAGTTAATGAAATAAATACCTTAAAAACAGTAAATAGATATATTTACCGTGAAGCAAAGGCCACAGTTTCTTCCAAATGAGCAAAATCATTTTGCCAAAGGTGGTATTATTAAAATATCTAGTTTGGTTTTAAGAATTAAAACCATATTTGAGTTCCAAAATTAATGTCACTTGAAGCCTATATTAATATATCTAGAAATAAAGTCATCTTATTTTTCTACATTAATTCTGATAGGAATGGGTGGAATTAGGTATTAATAGTAAGAGTTTAGTAAAAGAAAACACGATCAAAGAAAGCAAGATGTTTTCTATGATTCCTTACTTGTGCATTGTTATAAGTCAGGTAAATTGTTTATGGCATAACTTTCTTAATTTTTAGCTTTGGTGATGTCAACAAAGAAGTAAATACTTTGTATTTAATTATGAAACTATGTTCATTTGCAAAATCACTTCTCTCCCTGGCTTATTTCCAATGCATGGCTGCAGGAGTACTTGCGTCTGGATTCCATCCAGGCCTGCCTTTATAATATTCCTCCTGTTTCCTTTCAATGATCCTGTAAAGAGTTGGAAAACAAATCCAGTCCCATATTGAGGAAAACTAATGTTTTGAGAGAGGAGGCTGGCGAGTCTCTAGCCAAATGAGGGTGGTTAGCCATTTAAAGGCAAGTTTATCTGGGCACTTCATAGTGCTGTTTGTCACAAGATTATATGAAATATGAATAACCATGAAAACTGATCACAATATCAGTTGATGTAACAGCTTTTCTTCATGACCTTGAAAAAAATAATTCAAGTTTTAAAGCCAAATGTTTCTGAAATCTAAGATATGGAGAATTTCTGTCTAATAATTATAAACATTGTGCTTTTATGAAAATAGCTCTCTACAATTACTTAAAAACATATAATTCCAGTTAGACTTTTATCATCAAAACTTCCTTTTAACAATTTAAGTTGCTACTTCTCTGCAAACTAGTCAATATATTTTATTAAAAAGTGTAGTGATTTGAAAAATTGGGAGCAGACTATATTATGTTAACATAAAGAAATATTGTGGGAAGACTAAGAAATTTGATACTGAATTATATTTTGAAGTTTTTTGGAACTTTGATATAATTTTATTCCTTTTAGAAAGTAGAATAGTATTTATCAAAATGTAGAGTTGGCTTTTATAACTTGGATTCGTGCAGGGAGTCTAGTGTATGCTGAGTAATCATTTTCATTTTCTCATTTAATCTTTATCACATCACTAACAGATAAAAAATATTTTTCTGTCTTTTGATATATAATGAATCTGAAACAAATCAATATTAATGAGTAAAAAAATTAGATGCAAATATGAATCTTGATCATCAATTTATCTTTTTCCCATCACTGTACCACACTACTCCAAAATTTGTTCTGGAGTTCATCCTATAGATTTTAGTTATTGTAAGACTGGACCATTTTATTTTTTAACATTGCCTCTTTTTAATTTCAAAGATGTTCCTTCTGATTTGGAGGGTAAAATATATTATTAACCTAATTATAAAAACTTAAGGACATAATGTAGCTTATATCCATTTATAGAAATGTCATTTGCTTGGTTTATTTATGTTGCTTAATTTAAATTTTCTGAAAACAAAATTTTAACAAATTTCCATTCTGAGGATTTCAGAAGGCAATTCGAGCAATAGATTTATAATTTTTAGAATAAGGAGTTTGTTAAGAGCTGTTTATTATTTTCTATTAAGAGTTAACAAGTCTATTATTATTTTAAAAATGTATAATGTGTGCACATATAGCATACACCATTTTAATATCTGTTTTTTGAAAATTGTTATTTTCACAGGCAAGTAACGTGTAATTTATACCATGAATTATCATAACATGAATCTTTGATATATAACAATTATAATTAAATATGTATGCAGAAATGTAAGATACACTAAAAAGTAAGTAGCTCAGATTCTAGAGTCAGGGTTTTTAAATTCCGGTTCAACAACTTACTATGTGCATAAAGGAGGACATATTCTCCTAATTCTTATTTCTCTAAGTATAAACTAGGGCTAATAAAAATAGTACCTCACTCTTAGAGCTCTTGTCAGAGTTGAATGAAATAATACATATTAAGTCTCTAAGAATAGTATCTAGGACATAGCAAATAACCAATAAATGCTTGCTGTTATCTTGTTATTAATAATGCAATAAGGAGTTTGCTAAGTAAAGAAATCTCATGACAATGAATGAATGAGCATATATCTTATAAATCACAAATAGTTAAAATATCCTTTAAACCAGTAATCCACCTCAGATAACTTACCTATGAGGACATTTAAATAAAAGAAATGATTTTTGTGTAGGGAGCTCTGTTCAATAAATTATTGACATGAAAACCTGAAAAATAAAAAAGGAATGAAGTATTTACATAGCAATTTTTCTTTCCCGTAATGTATATATCTTGAAATACTAGAAATAAACTGAGTATCCAAAGTTAAGGGGCATCACCTTGATTGAACTTTGCTCTTAAAATATAGATGATGCTGTATATGAATTTCAAATTACCTTTTTAATAATTTTGAATGAAAAAGTAAATTTATATACATTGATATTTAGAATGATGCACAATATACCCAGGGATCATAAATATAACCATGAGACTGTGTACGATTTGAGGTGATCTTTTTCTTCTCTCTGCGTTACTAAACTATCTAGAAAATTAAGTTTTTTACACTATACTTATTAGCTGTAACGAACCTAATAGTTCATACAAAGACAACTTGAATGACTTTTTTAAAATTTGAGATTTTAAATTATGTTAGGGTCTGTAGAAAATGGGACTCAGGTAATACAGCAGAAGTAAATTGCAAGTGAGTTTAAATAATATAAAAGGGAAGAGATTCAAAGCATTCAGTAAAAGTGGTTCATAGATTTTTTTGTTACTTCAGTTATTAATAAATAAATGCTGCTTTTGGTACTTTGCATGTATTAATCATATAGAGAGGCCTTGCTAAGTCATTCAATCTAAAAGGTAGGCATTATAACTTAGTTTAAAAATAGAATAACACTATAATGAAGTATTAGTAATTTACTTCAGTAGCACATAATTAGTCATATAGCTTATAAGTATATATATCTATATCTATATCTATATATATATGTATAGTTTTTTATGTAAGACAATTGAAGTACAGTGAGGATGGGTTAAGTGCCCACAATCACAAAGAGTGGTAGACGACTCTTTACCCAAAGTGTTCCAGATTCAAAACCCTCAGTCAATACCTTGGGT